TGTTAAGCGCAGCCCATGAACATTGTGGGCACACGCAATTTTTAGGCTTGACATGTTTGGCAGATATTTACTGAACGATCTCATTTTTACAACTCAGTGCTCCAACTAATGACTGCTGAAGTGCGAGAGACATAACACAGTAGTAGCATGTAGGAACATATAACACACAATACCAAAGGGCCACAGATCGACCATGAGGATCTAGAGGCTATTGGGACCACACTTTGCATAGGTGCCTTGGCAGAGCAGTGTGACTTCCCATCTATACAAAAAAAAAACCTCTGCTTTTAACATGATATGTCAAAACAGTTTATGTAGGCTTTCTTGGCTGACTAGCTGGGAGAGAGTGCTGGGAAACATTTATATTATTTATTAAAAGGAAAAAAAAAAATTAAGAGGGCGCTTGAATTTCAATTTCTGACCCATGTAGCTTTTCACTATAGTAGTGGATTGCTTCAAAATAAACAATCGCACTCCTCCTCTGCACACCGTGTGACAATACTCAACTGTGACGTTCTACATCTAAAGCCGGGTATACATGGGTCTATTTTTTTTTCCGTTTGGGCTAAACAAAAAAAATAGAACAGATTCCTCCATACAAGTGTTGATCGACAAATACCCTGTTGTTTCTATTGTATTACGAATTTCCTGACCTGCTCCTTCGATCAGCTGAAATTTGTAGCGTGTATAGCCTATTTAAGTGTTGTGAACCTGTCCCCTTGTCAGCCATACTCATTTGGAAAACTGTGGATACAATATTTATTATTTGTATAAAAATCCGTGACTAGATGACAAAATTCCATCTCCTAATCAAGCAGGGTTCCACTTATACAAGTACTCAATAAGAGTTACTTGTGAACACAGAGTTGCTGCCATTTTACCTGCTTCAGCACCACAGCAAGATGAAATTAAACTTTTATGTCAAATCTTACAGAGTTGTGAAGAAGAAATGTTATTCAGAAAAATCATTCAGAACTGTAATTTGAGAAAAAACAGCCAAATGTAGTTTTACGTTCGAGTTCATTCCAAGCACAACTACTACATTTCCTGTACAGTGAAGAACGTTACCTTTTAGCTCCCGTGCAGACCATTTTTCCAGAACTGAATATAAGTGCTGTTGTACGTGGCTCTCTTATTCTCATAATAACGGCAGCAAAACGCTGGGGGACAGAACAAAACATGGCAATTACTAGAAATCGTTATAGTTTGCAACCAAATTGTGTCAACCCGTTAAACTACTTTTTCTTCTTTAATTACATTCACTGGCATGCTCTAAATAACCTCATACTGATGATGGGAATAATGGTACCCACCTTTGGATTATACTCTGCATTTCGCGCTCTAAGTGCAATTGTTTTCAGATCTAATTTGCAGCCAAGATTGACAGTAGATACTATATTTCTGGAAATAAGAAAATAAACCATGATTATACCATATCTTTTACTATGCAGATCAGGCGCTCGGTTCACAGTCAGGAAAGTAGTATTGTCAGAAGATGATCAGCAATAGCAGACTCCGTATCTCAGAGGAGGTTTCCTTTAAAGCTCAGTTAAACTTTTAGGGGTCTATTCACAAAAAGGTGAAGAGTTTGGAGAAGGCAGGAGAAGTGAACAATCTAGGCCAAAATAGCCGATTTGGAAAAAATCTCCAATTCAGCTATGCTGTCCTAGATTGCTCACTTCTCCTGCCTTCTCCAAACTCTTCACCCTTTTGTGAATAGACCCCTTAGTCTAAATCTGCTACACACAGTCCAAGTACATCAAAACAAAAAGGTGTTCAAATGATTACAATTCATTCTGACTAGAAGCTTGTCCACTGCCAGAACGCTGTAGAGAAAGATTCTTGCTCTCCGTGCAAGCAGTGGTCTCTCTGTAAAAGGTCAGACACCCTCTGCTGAGACAGACCAATAGCTCTGCAATCAGTAAAGCTCATACTTCTTCCTTTTTGGAGATCTCTAGCCCTGACATAACAGTGGGCATGTCAGACCACTGCAAAGAGACCACGGCTTTCAGAGAGCAAGAATCCTTCTCTACGGCATTCTGGTAGTGGACAGGCTTTTCTACTCAGGGTGTTGCTGCTTTCTAAAGACAACAAACTAAGACTTTGAACAACTTGGGGAACATATAGGAATTCTGTCACATAGCAAGACCATGCTAAAAAGACTACAGATTTGCCTTAAATTAAAGCCTGAGTCTACTTCTTTGAATGAAGCCTAACCCTGACCAATTCTTAATTGTGTATCTATTTAGAGTGATGAATCTGTTGCATCTGATTACAGGCACATATGTCACAAATACACAGAAAAACATTTGTATGGACATTGTTAAATAGATAGCCTGATTTGTGTAATTGAGTTGCTACTTTGCTTGATAAATGTACCTCCTTACGCTTTGATGCACCTAGAACAGCGTTTCTCAACCTTTTTTTTTACAATTGTGGCACTTTTAAGTATGCAAAATATCGAGGCACCCCGGTGTACAATGTAAAAAAGTAAATATAAAAATGAAGAGTGGTTTCACTAACATATCCTTATCCTAGATAGGGTCTGGTATGGACCCCACACAAAAAGAAAGGCATCAGAAGCCCCATATCCCATCACATCCCCCCACCTCTACTCATCAGAGTCCCCCCTTTCATGTCAACATGTCTACCTTCATATCAAAGTCCTACCTTTTAATCTTCCCCACAGTGTGGCTAAGGAAGCATGGCAGGGGGCAGGTTTGGACAGATGTGGATTCCTGTCCTCTTCTGAATGCTTGGGTCCTGGATGTAACCCTCCCCAGGATTAGCGTCACACATTTCCATGGTGCTGGTGGTGGGCTCGCCTGCACCATGCAAATGCATGACAAAAATTTGAAGGCACCCCTGACAAATCCAGAAGGCACCCCAGTGTGCGACGGTTGAGAAAGGCTGATCTAGAATATATTTAGCCGATTTAAACTGAAAATTGTATTGGTATATGCCTCGTCCACAAAAAAATTATAATAATCACAGGAAAGTTGTCATCCATAAACAAAATGAATTTTTTGGGGGGGAAAAGTTATGCCAGGACATAAATACTGGAGCTGCCAATATTTGTGAAGGTGTAGGCTCCGGGGCAGTAATTTTTTTCCCTTCTTTTAGTATCAATGCTCCTTCCAAAACATCATAATATGGTAACAGTCGCATCGTATTTGAAATTGATATTTGCTTGTTCCAGCTGAGAGACACACTAGATAGGAAAACAAGGATAGGAAGGAAAGCACCAGAGTAAGCAGCTGCCATATCAATATCTTGAAGAAAAAAAAAGTTGCTTACTGCAACTGAGGTACGATGCCAGAACTTTCTGAAGCAGGAGTGGCTGGAGTAATAGGAGTCATCGGAGTCATAGGTGATGTATACAGCGGTGTATTGCCTGGAAGTGGCGCTGTGGTAAGAGTCTGTGAGTGAAAAAGTTGTGGGGTCTGTCCTGCCCCCGGAACACCCTGCTGGGATGTGGACTGCTGGGCCTGTTGCTGCTGTTGCCTTTGCTGTTCTTCCAGAATTGATAAACTATTTGCAGTTTGTACAGGCTGTGGTGTCAACCCAGTGCCATAGGGCATCATCGGGCTAAAGATGGGAATTCCTGGAGTCATTGCTCCCTATAGAAATAAAAAGAAAAAAATTATACTTTTTTGTTGTCTCACCTTGAGAAAAACAGAAATGAGACTAGCAAAAATATAGCTTGAATTTTCCCAGTTATTAAGGTCATTGCTCTGTGGCTTCACAGTTGGTATTTTGACAAATGTGTTTGTGGATGATCCATTGGGACATTTACACTGATATACACATTACAGAATGGTATTGGTTCCCATAACTGCTATCAGCTACAGAGCAAAACACATTACATTTGGGGGGGAAAGCACCGTCAATCATAAACAAACATCACTCCGTTAAATTAGATAAGATAAATTATTCTTTACTGACCTGTGGAGAGGCCAGACCCTGGAAAGTCGATATACTATTATTCTGATCCATCTTCCTTTCACCTCTCTAAGGTTCAGAAAAAAAAAATCCTTTTTGGTGTTAATATGTAGTTTCAAACCATCCCAAAATCTTCTGAAACTGCAAAAAATACAGACAGCGTCACCAAAGCATTTCTAAAACATACATTCAACATGTTCCTCACCTAAACACAACACACATCGGTGAGGACCTCACACAGCTGTCCATCACATCTATCTATGTGTACTTTAGTAGACTGGATAGACAATAGAGTGCAAATCTAACAGAGATGACTGATCCCTGTACCCCATGACTGCTATTCAAAGAACGATGGAAACCCTTTTCTCTCAATGCTAAAAGTGTCTACTATAACCTCACTCTTGCCTTTCTTAGACCAAGATGCATTTATTGCAAGGTGTTATAACATTTCTTAATATAGAAGAAGGAACGTATGTTAAGGTCGATCTAAAGCCTCCTACTCTTTTGCACCCAAGGACTGCACCACCTTAACCTCCTATTTCGATCTGCTGTTGCGATGGTGCTACACATGTTATCAGCTATGACACCAGCCATTGGATGGCTTGGAAGTTTGGTTGGGAGCTGACAAACACATTGGCAACTGTGACCGTTATCACCAGAGGCATGCCTTGAATGCAGCATTCACTGCACATGGTTGAGTAGGGAGAAAGTAAATGAGAACACTGCAGAAAACATTGGTATCATTAAAGAATTAATAACATTTATTTAACATTTCTAACTGAAGCGTTTTTTGGGGAAATGGTTAAATTGGTGAGTTTAGTAGAGCTGCAGCTAACGATTATTTTCAAAATCGATTAGTTAGCCGATTATTAAGTTCGATTAATCGGTTAAAAAATAAAATTCATTTTTAAAAATGGCTCCAGTGATTCGACTACTAGTTTGTTGTTTGTATTGAGATTGCAGTCCATCACAGGAGCAAGCTTGGAGCGGTGGAGGTAAAAAAGAAAAGAAAAAAAAGAGTGGTGTGCAATATAGTGAAATGGAAAGTGTAAAATTATACAGCAATGATGAAGAATGGCATCGACTATAGATGACTACAAATCCCAGCAATAGTACATTATACAGCACAATGCAGAATACCACCAGCTATAGAGGAATACAAATCCCAGCAATAGTACATTATTCTGCATTGCGCTGTATAATGTATTATTGCTGGGATTTGTAGTCCTCTATACAGCGCAATGCAGAATACCACCAGCTATAGAGGAATACAACAAATCCCAGCAATACATTATACATAGGGTGTATAATGTATTGCTGGGATTTGTATTCCTCTATAGCTGATGGTATACTGCTCTGTATAATATACAGTACAGCGCAATGTTCCATCAGCTATAGAGGACTACAAATCCCACTATCCCAGCAATACATTATAGAGCACCATATGGGGGAAAGTGCAGGCTTACCTGAGCAGTCTTCCAGCAATTTGTTTCTGAGATCAGGACTGTCTATCGGCGGCTGTCATCCCCCCACACCTGCTCCTCCTTACTTCTTCTACCAGCGTCCCTGTGCCGATCGTGGATGTGGGCGGGTGGTGAGTGTGAGGCGGGAAGGAGGTGCTGCGTGTGGAGCGTGGATGCGGCCGGGCGGGTCTGGCAGCGGCGAGCGTGAGGTGGTGAGGCGTGCAGCGTGTGTGGGGCCGTGAACAGGACCAACCAATCGGAACCCGATTAATCGATTACTGAAAAAGTTGACAACTTTTTCAATAATCGATTATAATCGATTATGTCGATTAGTTGTTGCAGCCCTAGAGTTTAGTTCAGCTTTACATGAATGTCTATGGCAGTTAATGATTTATATAACTCCATTGTGAATGCAGCTGGCAATGCAGCCGTGTATGTAGAGAACAAATGCATTTGGAGTGACAAAATCACTCTGCAGTAAACAGTAATCCTCCCAGTTGCCTCGCCCAATATAAATCGAGAGAAACCCACCATTTCCCCCTACCAAAAGGAGTGTTGGTTCTCCTGATGCGATCTCTAAATACTGTGAAAAAGAAGCAAACACAGTGGAATATTCACTTGAAGTGCCACCTAAGTAGGTTGATGGTAGGAAATCATATTAAAAGATTTCCATTCACCAGATAACATAAGAAAAGTTTAACACAGAAACAGTGGTGTATGGAAATGTATCGGTGTATGGTGTATGGATCCCTTGAAAAAGCCCAAAGAAATAAAATTTTTGTGATGTGCCCCATTGAAACATGCTTTGCTATAATCAAAAGGAAGAATGACCAACATAGCATTCCACTAGCAGATGAGAAGTGGTCATGGCCAGTGGAAGTGCTTTTTAGTGCCCTTCAGAGTCTACATTTCTGTCCAAGTAGGTATCCATCATTCCCTTTTCTGAGGAGGAAAGGGAAGGAGACCCTTTCTGTAAGCGTGCTGTACTCACTCATCCTCAGAGTTGTAAACATGGCCGTGCTATCATGACGATGCACGACGGAGGTTTCACCTCTTGGTGAGACATCTGTATTACCAGACATAGTCCATGTGTAGATAACATTGGAGTGTTTACATGTCATTTCAAACGCAGATTTTCTAAATCATGGGACATATGATTTCCAAAAAATACATCACAAAAAAATATCATCTCCATCTCAAGGCTTTATATCTAAACTCCAAGCAAACAGCTAAATACACATAAAATATATACATAATAGCCGTTTATCTGCCAATCTGTATTCCTATCCATCCAGTCCCAAGATTTACACCGCTCTGACAAACTAAAAAGCCATGTCTGACACAACAGGAGCCCTGATGTTTCTCTGCTACATCAAATACTTACAGTTCTGGTCCCTCCCCCAGCCTATGATTGGTCACTGAAAGGAGAAGTAACAAACCAATGAGCTCATTTCTGCTCTACTCCTATCAGCAAGATTCCTGTCAGCACAACTGTTTGGCTCCTTGTGCTGCTTCTCCATCTCCCTCTGTGAGCTCTGCTGTACATGAAATGCAAAGGGCTGATACCAATTTAGAATCAGATACTTCCTCTGCTTGCAAAAATACTTGTAATAATGTATTAATGAATACAAGAACATTTATCTGTTTTTATGTGCATGGAGTTCAGCCTTGACCTGCACCAGAAAGTCCATGCTCAGCTCCAGAAGGTCCTTGCTGTTAGGACTGTTGGGTATTTGCCCCTTACTAAGGCTTCGCTCCCCAGGCCCAGTCACTGTTGTGTGTGGATAGGTTGGGCATATATAGCCCTGTAAAACATAATAAACCTGTGGTGATGTCATGGCAAAGAAACTATGAGATGGGAAGTATAGACTCCTTGTGGATCCTAATATTAGGTGACGTCTAGTCCAGGCAAGCTACAATGTAAACAGAAAGGTGGTGAGCAGACCAGAAGTAGAATGTGTTCTACCTAAAGAGTGATGGTGGAAGTCCTGAGGAGAGGATTGACTCCAGCACATGAACACCGCCAGATATAGAAACCTACAGCGCCTGGCTCTACTACTCAGCAATGTGCAACCTCAACATCTCATGCAGCTCCCCATCCCGGCCCACCGTACCGTTACCTTCCACTTCTACCGAAACCGGGCTCCCTGTATCGCTCCAGACCTCTCACACCATTCCGCCACTACCGCCTGCGCATGTCCGAATACACCGTGTACCCCGCCTCGGCCAATCAGCTGCAGCTCTCCGACCTCCTTACGTCACGTGCTCCTTTTCCCCGGCGCTCTACTACAATCCGGAAGTTCCGGTTGCGGAGCAGTAGTGTCTGGCTGTTGTAGTGTTTGCAGTTCTATGTGCGGTGTATTGGGGAAATCCTTCATAGACAAACGTGTGCCCCCTTGTCACGTTTGCTGTTTAGAAATAAAAATCATTTTTGACTGACTTTTTTCTTATTTAGTAGTAATGATAATGCCGGATGAAGTGGATAGGTTGCTGGCCAGAATGTTCCCATGCGTAGTTGTAATGTTATCCACTTTAAGAAGAAGCAGTGCAAAATAACGTGCGCCTCCAGGTCAAAGTCTAATAAGGAATGACAATGGGCACCCACCACATAATCTCCTTGGTCATCTTCAATGATGATGCACACATTTTTTGGTTGCAGTATTGTGACAATATAAATAAAAACAGACATGCGGTAAAACATGTCGTCTTGCCAGGCATTACCGCAACGCCCTCATTCACACTGGAAAAGGCCGACACGTACAGCTCCCTGCTGCGTGCACGCCCGTATCAGGCAGCTCCTGGGAAGGACAGGTGCTGTGTGTAATTAGTACGCAGCCCCGTCCTCTCTAATTAGTACGCTGCCCTACGCTCAACCCAAGTGCAGGTCTGTACGGGTGTGTTTTTCCTGGCCCGGACGCAGACAGGATCCATCCTGTCAGCGTACAAGTACGGACACCTGCAAAGCGGGTGAGCGTTAGGCGGCATACAGCCGCGTACGCCCATAGAGAAGGACGGGGGCCGCCAACTAATCACACGCAGCACCTGTCCTTCCCGGGAGCTGCCCGATACGGCTGTGCAGGGAGCTGTACGTGCCGGCCTTTTCTAATGTGAATGAGGGCAACACATCGTAACTAGTGCGCTGCTGTGTGTGTTGCTATTTGTTTTGAATTACACCCCAACTCACAGAGTAGCAGGCAACACACCCACACTGCAGCACACCACATTGCACTTGCTGTGTGTTGCAGTGGTCTGCATTAATAAAAGTCATAACTGATTTTTACAGGGTTATTCACTAAAGGGTGAAGAGTGTGGAGAAGGCAGAGAAGTGAACAATCTAGGACAACATAGCTGTAGTGGAAAGTGAGCTCAATTGGAGATTTTTTCCAAATCAGCAACTTTGTCATAGATTGTTCACTTCTCCTGTCTTCTCCAAACCCTCCACCCTTTCGTGAATAACCCTTTTAACCTCTTGCCGTCCGCCCGTAGTAAAAAAACGGACGGACGGCACTGCAGCATCTCCAGACGGCAATTTTTTTCTGCTCGCGCGCAGGAACTCTGGCACATGTGACTAGTACATGTGACCATGTACATCATCTCAGGGGAGGAAAATGCCTTTCACTGGGATCTCGTGAGATTACAGTCAAAATTTCCCAGCAATGCTCTGCTGATGTAACCTTCCCGAGGTGCAATTCTTGGGCACATTACATCACTAATGCCCAAGAGGAACAGGAAGTGGAAAAACTGTATTTGTAAGTAACAGAAAAGTATGTTTGTTTAGCTAATGAATGTAAGATGATTTCATATTAGCATGCAGAGCTGGATACTCAGGTGATTTTTAGTGAAAGGGGGTAAAGATCCACTTTAATGAATAACATTGAGCTTGCTTATGCAGTACAGGCAAATGTCACCCAGAACTTTCAACTTATTTGGTGTGAATCTGGGGTGAAATGAGGATAGTTTTTTTTACATATTAATATCCTTTCAATAGATCACTATACTGACAGGAAGTGCCATGATATCATTTAACTTCCGATGTAAACACTGTATGGAAGCATTGTTCATAGTTGTGGGTTGTTTTTTTTCGCCTCATACTAGATCAATTCAGCTCCTGGGGATTATTGCTGGACCGCCACTGTCACAGACAACCAAGCAGTTTCAACACCAAAGCTGGAGTCACTGTCACTCAGCATGCAGCCCATTGTGCTCCAGATCTGATTTAAAGTGACATTAAACCCTCAGATTTTTTAACATAAACCAATACTGTAATGTGCGCCTTACTGTAATCCATGGTTGTTTACCTTCTCTTTACTGGAGAACAGCGGGATGTATGCTGAGTGCTGTCAGGCTGTTTGTAGGGCACCAAGGATATAAACTAACAGGCAAAAGAACCCTACTGTATGTCAACTGCATGGTTAACCCCTATAGGTTGTGTGGCTAAGGCCCATTCACGCCAGTGCGCTGTGGTAACGCATGCATTACTGTAAAGCATGATAATGTGTTTTGGTACGATGGGGTGTCATTTCATGTGGAATGGCTACCCAGCACACCACAACGTGTGGTAACTCAGTCCCGTGCATTGTGGCGTGCGGCTGAAAATGATGCATGCATGTTTTTTGGTCCGGTGGTGGGTTAGGTAGTCCATTCAAATAAATACTCTGCCTTAATGCAATGTATGTTAACACAACACAATGAATGTGCGGTTAACGCACTACAGCAGAGTGGGCTGGTGTGTGCAGACCCATTCACAGGGGTGTGATTCATCCTGAATGACACCCCAATGCGCCTTCCTGGCACACCTGCATAGTTGTAATGATCCATGAGTGATTTTTGGTATGTTGTGGTGCGTTGCGCAGCCCATTTAAATGAAAAAGGAACATATCTATCCGGGAGAGAGATCTATCTGTGAAGAATGGGAAGAATAAAGTCTGTTTATGCTTCTTTTTAATAAAACAAACGCAGGAGTCCTTTGTGAATAAAGACTAAAGTAGCCCCAACGTGAGTAGAAAAGCCTATGTCATGCCAGCAGCTGCAAATCAGGAGCCTTGTTCTATGTGGTTAAGCAGCGGTCTGTTTGCACAGGTCCAAAAGGCTCCCTGATGAGTCCGACCTATAGCTGTGCAATCAACAAAGCTCCAGCTCCGCACTGATTGAAAAGAAGGTCAGAGCTCTCCAATCAGAGGGGAGCATGAGCTTTTCTGAATGCACAGCTATAGGTCTAACCCAGGAGTAGGCAACCTTGGCATTCCAGCTGTGGTGAAACTACAAATCCCATCATGCCTCTGTGAGTCATACTGTGGCTATCAGATTCTTGCAATGCCTCATGCGACTTCTCGTTCCACAACAGCTGTAGTGCCGAGGTTGCCCACCCCTGGTCTAACCCATCAGGAGGCATGTTATACCTGTGCAATTAGAACACTGCTTCCCCACGGAGTCAAGCGTCCTTCTCTGCAGCTGCTGTCAGGGGATAGGCTTCTTTACTCAGGCTGTGGCTGCTTTAGAAACAAAACAAACTGTAAGACATTGAACACCTTTTTGTTTTGATGGCACCTGGAATGTTTTAGCTGATTTAAACTAAAGGTTCGAGGGGGTCCTAAATGGCAATGACAGTGGACCTTACCTGTGTATTGTGTGTTGAATTAGCCATTTGTAGTCTTTTCAGAAGTCTGACAGTGACAACGCAGGAGAGCAATTGTAGGTGTAGTCACCCTATAACATGGGTGAGCAAACTCAGGCCCTTGAGCTGTTGTGGAACTACATATCCCACAAGGCATTGCAAGACTCTCACAGCCACATAAATGACTTCAAGAGACAGATGCATAATGGGATTTGTAGTTTCACCACAGCTGGAGGTTTGTCTACCCCTGCCCTATAACAAGAACTGCCTGAACCTTCCTGGCAGGATCACCAGACATTATTTTAATGAAAGCTGCAGATGTTAAACACCTCATACACATGGCCTTCTGACCTGTATATTATATATACACAGGCATAGTTCCCCCCTGACAGGGGGAAATAACCTCCTATAAAAGTCAATGGCTGTACGCTGGTATATGTCGGTATTTGCGTAGGCCCTGCATTCATAGGGACATAAATCTGTGGATGCAGGTTTTCTGTGTCCAAGGATTTATGTTCGTATGCATACTGTAAGCAAGTACTGGCGTATGCACGCGTACAGCCATTGGCCCTTGCGGCAGGTTGTACCCAGCACATGTGGCTACCAGGCAGAGGGGAAATAAGCTGGTATGTACATTCTAAAGGCTTGTCACCCATCTGCATGAGCTCAAAATATTAAAAATGACTTTAATAGGTTAGAATTTATATGAGATTTTAGTGCAGGTGTTTAGATATACTTCAATGTTGCAAGGCGCCCCTTTGGTCACTGTAGCCGCCTCTGCCCATTTTATTATGATAACCAAACACATGGCAGCAAGTCTCCTCCCAAGCGACACAATGTGAAAGGAAGTGGCTGTAGACTGGTGAACGCTGGATCGGAAGTAGGGGGCGGAACGCCGGAAGTACCTTTGTCGCCATTTTGGCAGTGAGACAGCAGAGCTGATTGCCGGTTGTGTGATCGGTGGTGGATTTTGTGTCTCAGGATGTATATGTCTGCGGAGTCCAGGACTGGGGAGCAAATGTACAGGGGGATGGATTACCATTACGCCGGGCCGGTGCAGCAGAGGTTCAGCCCCTACACCTTCAACGGAGGGTAAGAGTGGGAGCAGCGCCAGAAGGGAGGTGGAGGTAAACTGTACCCGGGAAAGTAGGGGGGTGGAGGGGAATGCTGTACCCGGAGCTGTACGGGAGAGTGGGGTTCATCTTCTGATCCTCATTGTATTCAGGGATCGGATCCGGGTTAGGACAGCTCGGGTAGGCTGACCTTAGGGCCCCTGATGGCTCTTTATACCGACACGCAGTGTGATGACAAGGCTGATAAACACAGAAATGACCATTGGCAATGGTGGGGGTGCTAAATCCAAAAGATAGACGGTTTTCGATGAGTCTAATATTCTTATTGTTGTGTTCGGATTTCACTTTCGATTCGCAGTGCAGGCAGCAGATAGGCGGCAGTACACTGTATCACTGGGATCCTGCACTGTCACCACATCCGACCCTATGAACTCCATACATGTCAGCGATCTGTAGTAGATGTGTATACACTCGATCTGTCTGCTGTATCGACCTCACCTTGGCGAGCAGAGATCTCACC